AGCATTTGTTTAAAAAAATTACTCGTGTTTATGGAAAAAACACATACACAGAGGAAGAAAGTTCACAGATATATAGCCAACCTTTTCAGTTCCTGAGAATCTATCTCGAAACTAAATGCTAATATTTAGTGCATTTATTCTGGTGAACGGGCTGAATGTCTTTATATGTAACCTGACTGTGAATCAATTTCCCTTAGAATTCCCTTCGCGCATGTATTTTTTCTCTTAGAAAATGGCCCTAGTAAAGCTATTTTACAAGTTGAAAATTCAGTAAATCTTACTCACTTAAAACAACGACTAATTCCTGAATAATAATTTGTTTTTGCCAAACCAGGAAACAAAACCTTTGACACTTCAGCTTAGTACGTATACATATGACATCATGGCTTAAATTTAATGTAGTATAACATCTTTTTCTCAGTATCAATAAAAGAGTTAACATGGGAGTAATGTATTATGTCTGTTATCTTAAGCTGAAATAAAAATTGCCAATAGCAGCCACTTATTTAAAATGCTGACATTAACAAAACATTTTCGACATACAATGACGTCACATGCAATCTCGTCCTTATTTCAGCGTCAGAATACGACCTCATATAATAATAATCTTTAAAGTTTGGCAATGCTATTTTTAATTCGTATTTTGTAAAACGTAAGAATTTTTTAATAACAAATTCTACGATTTGAAAGCGAGCAGTGGCAACACTTTTCGAAATAAAGCAATTTTATCTCCAGCGCGCTATACTGTTGCCACTCGAAACTATGTGTGCAAAAATGAACATTTGCAGAGTTTTTAATTAATATCTCGTCAGATCAAAGTCGTACGAGAAACGCTTTCCCACGAATTTTTAGAATCTCCGGGTACCTTTCTCGATACTCAGCTCTCTGCCGTTCCGTAGGTTTTGCTGTTACAAACAAACAAACAAACACAGATCTTAATAGTGTGGTGCACAGATCTTAATAGAGTGGATCATGAGCTACCTCTCACGTAATGGAAATATAAGCTTCCCGAGGTTTCACTAATTATTCTAATATTCTAAAATACGGAACAAAAGTTACTTATTTTTAAGTTAGGTAGAATTCTACTTGCTTTGCAATGAAATTAAATAAAAACTGGATTTTGTGTTCTTGAATGTTCTCCAAACTTCAAACAGCACAAACTTTGGAAAGTAGACAGCAAGCTATAAGTTAGAATTATTTCAATGTGCGAACATTCTTACAGTGATTCCGAAACCTCAACAAGATGACATTATTACGAATTATATACGCATAAATGGTAACAGAATGTATTTGTTTTGCTGTTAATTAAAAACGCTATGCTTTTCATTATTACGCCATCCTAGCTCAGAAATTATAAAGGCAGATTGAGGAATTCGTATCGTAAAATATTCACCTCCTTATTACATACTAATTTTCCATTTATTTACAAGTCAACAATATTTTATTGGAAAAATTATATTTGAGACACTAGGACTTATTATATGTTTGAGACTATTAAAGGCACTGGAAATGAAGGTATGTCATTTTTTTATCTCCCAATCTTTATGAGTTCTACAAAACGACAAAAACTTTGGCAACACTGAAGTTTGTCAGGTAATGCATATTTTGATTTTTTTAGGTACATGATTAAAATTTTCTGCCAAAGAATGCTTTCCAGAAAAAAAAAAATATTTTATATTAGAAAAACAAAGTTTAAAAGTTTCAGATTTTAAATTACATCGTCCATTACATTATCATTTACAATGTTAAATCGCCCATTACATTATCATTTACAATTACATCGCCCATTACATTATCATTTACAATTACATTATCATTTACAATGTTAAATTAAACGCTCCTTTGGGCGTTTAATTTAACATTTCGTATGTTACCTTTATTTACGAAATATTATGTTCTTCGCACTTAAACCATAAAATTCAGTTCAAGAGCAATATCCCAAAATAATTTTAAATTGAGCATATCTTTAGAATTTTCGATACACAGTCTCCCGCGCTGGAGATAAAAATGTTTTTTTTCTGTACAACGTTGCCATTGCTCGCTTTGAAATTCTTGAGTCTGTTAATGAAAAATTCGTAAAGGTTTTACACAAATATGAAATCCATAATAAAACAAATTCCAAATTTCAGATTTGGGCTTCCAGATGCCCATATTCGCAGTAGGTTTACGTCATTCACAATTGGGCGACTTTAGGTACCGTTGTTTTTATCACAATGCGAGAAACATACATACATTTATGCAGATTCTTCAGTATTTAATTTCTTCAAATGCAATACAGGGCGATAATATTGGATGGCAACAGTTTAAAAAATGAAACGGACATACAGAATAATTCGACAAAAAATCGCAAAACGAAAACAATCATCCCTCAAGTACAAAGCCGCTTTGGACTAATAAATGATAGTTTATGAGCATTAATACTAGTTCCTGTCATTAGTTGAAACATGCGTGAGTTATAATGAGTATATAAACGCAAATATGAAAATATTTAATTCAAAGAAGGTTTATTTAAAAGTCCTTAAAATCTAACATAATTTAACTACGGCCTGATTTGAATAACATGCATTACGGAGAACTGCCTTCTAATTGCAGTAATGATATCAGCTATCTTAGAATTAAAAAACTTGAAAACTTAGCAAAATGAACTTAACTAACACAAATAATAAATAGCATTTATTTATTGATATAAAATAAATGATGAGAAACAGCAGAGAAACATATGGCAATAAATAACATGAGAGAAAGTAAGGCAAGAACCATCCGTCATAAAATTCGACAAGATCGGAAAACAGCATTAAAATATTTTTTCAATTTATATTACGAACGGTTCTTTTGCCAAGATGTATGTTTCCTAGAATTTCTGAGTTGTATTATTCATAACGTAAACCTGTATTTTACTACTTTGGAAATAAATAAACGTTGTGATGCGAAGCTCACGTATGTTTGGTTCAAAATTCTACTTTCTCTCATTTTTCGAAAAGAGCTTTGCGAGAAATTTACTGGCGCTGATGCATTTTATTGGTCCCAATACTGCTACGTGATATGTTTCTAACATTCTAATTTTACGACAGTCTCATGCTGCCAAAGCATTTTGTGAAAAGGCCAAAATATCAGTAATATATTAGTAAATAGTCTGGCTAGAATTTGCAGATGACAGAAACTGAGTAATAAACGTTTAAAAGGAGAAATATTTCATAAAATGTACTTTTCTATGCATGTATGTATATTTTCACTTTCAATGCATGAATTGACAAGGCGTTCAAAGAAGATAAGAAATAGAAATAATTTAAGAGAAGAAATAAGAAAAGCTTTCGTTTTTACTTGAAAGAATGGGGATGATATGGGGATAATATTTATGGTTATTATTTTATTATTAGCCCAAAGGGCTCTTAGAAGGGCTAATTTCGTTTTAACAACTTTGCGTCGGTTCACTATAAATGTCTGCTTCACTTTCAAAATTGTTACCACCAAATATTATCGCCCTGTATTATACTTAAAGAAATTAAATAATGACTAATCGGCATGGATTTGTACGAATGTGTTTCTCGTACTGTGAAAAAGCAACGGTACCTACAACCATCAAATTTTCAATAACATAGTCCTCTACCCGAATATGGGCATCTGGAAGCCCGAATCTGAAATTTTTTTATTGTCTGTTTCCTATTTTGTACAACTTTAAACTTATGCTATACTTTATGGTAAAACACTAGCCATATAGTAAAGTTATTACACTCAGATGCATGAACTGTGAACATTGTTTTCTGTGAAACTGTTTTTACTTATATAATTATTTTCTTCTCTTAATAAAATATTTTGCAATTTAACTGTCATCATCGTTCTAAATTTTATTTTTTTCATTTTGTAGTGTCTAAAGTTATAACCAGGCTTTCTTTTATTTTTGGCATCAATGTAATTTAATTTACGTGTTCCTAAAATTCTTATATCAAACTTAAAGTATTTGGAAAATGTCTTACATGCATTAACATTGCTGTCTTTTAGTTATATCTGCCCGCGAGAAGAAGCGAAAGCAGACAAATGCAGTCAAGAGAGCAAATCTCTCGTAAAATATCTCACAGGCATCACATTTAAATCAAGGCAACTATTTGCGTCACTGGTACAGAAATATGCGTTTAGAAGAGATCCGAATGGTCAAATGGATAAAATGCATTAAACACTGAGTTATGTTCCCACAAACAGATAGTTTGGCGAGATTATCGCAATTCTTGGCATGCACGAGCGGATTCTGATTGTTAACAATAATACATTGGTTGACTCGGTCGATGCGAAATATACATACATGAAGGTAATTCAGACTGTCAAAATAAAATCACAGCAATTCAAGAAGCAGTAACTTTAAGGGAAAAAATAAGTAAAAAGAAAATTGAAACGTTTCATATTTTAAATTACGTCCAAAGGGGCGTTCTTTTAACGTTTTGTGAGTAACCTTCATTTATTAAATATCATATTCTTGGCACTTACACCATAAAATTCAGTTCAACAGCAATGTCGCAAAATAATTTAAAATGAGCTTACCTTTAGAATTTCCGATACACAGCTCCGGGCGCTGGAGATAAAAGTCCCCCCCCCGGTAGAGTGTTGCTCGCTTTGAAATCGTTGAGTTTGTTAATCAAAATTTCGTTAAAGGTTTACAAAATATGAAATCGATAATAAAACAAATTCCAAATTTTAAATTTGGGCTTTCAGATGCCCCATATTCGTAGTAGGATTACGTCATTCAGAAATGGATGGCTCTATGTACCGTTGTTTTATCACAATGCCAGAAACATACTACATACATTTATGCAGATTCTTCATTATTTAATTTCTTCAAATATAATACAAGGCGATAGTATTATAGTATTTGGTGGCAACGATTTGAAAAGTGATACGCCGTTTATAGAGTTCCGACGCAAAATCGCAAAACGGAAACAATAGTCATTCAGGGACAAAGCCCCTTGGGCTAAAAAAAAAGAACATGATCACACTTAACTGGCACTCACCACATGGGGTTCATTCTAGTTCCAGTGCACTGGTAAATGAAGAGGTAGCAGTAACTGCTAAATACCTAAATTCGTTCGACAAATATATATCTTCTTAAAAAATTCCGTGTCACCCAACAAAAAAAGTATTGGTGCCCTTTGGTAAACATTGGGGAAGGAAGGGAACGGGAAGAATGCAACACTGTACGTAGCATTCACATTTTTCCCCCGAAAGTAGCGAATAACTTCTTAATACGGTTGGTTCACTCAGGAACTCTAGCGATTAGCCTCAAAGACGACGATTTTTGCGCCAGTGGATATGATAGCGATTTCGATAACAAGGTCTTTGATTGACCTCTTACGCGAATTATCATCTTAAGTGGCCATCTTCAGACGGAAAAAAAGTATTTCTGTGCACGAAATTCAATTAAATTAGCAATGAGCTAAAAACGCTTGAGAAAATAATAAAAAGCGGCGACGTTTGTAGGGATATACTTGCCATTTACATGTCCTGTATTTAAATAATGTAATTATTTTGTTTTTGTCTCATGTTATAAAATTATCTGATGCTGTAAGTAATTAATATGTTTATGCAAATGTAAAATGCACACTGCCCTCTATTGCAGTATTTTTGCTGCTCGCAAAACGATACTTTACATTCCTACTTAGCACTTTAACTACCAGATGCACACTTTAGTCACTACGTGCTTCAAACATCATGAGGATAAAAAAAAATGCTTTCTTTGTTACCCAAATTATTATGCTGATATGCGCTTAAATGGTACCAAAACATGGAGAACGTTGGGACAGAGCAGAACATGAATGTGAGGCAGTTTTCCTAAGAAAATCCTTCAACAAGGTATCATTTGTAAGTAGAGTATCTCCAGCATGTTTGCTATATTTCGTAAAACGAAACGCAGGATTAATTCTGCGAGCGCGGTTGAATTCAGAACCCTTCTGTGCTGCTAATTTAAAACCTGAAAACCACATAGATAGCGTCTATCATATGTTGGAATGTTACATTTAATTTAGGTATTTTATTTGTAACTAATTTACTATAAAATAAAACTCGGAGTAAGAATTTATTACCAAATTTGTTATACGAAATCAAAAAGTCAGGTACATCTTTGGAATAAAAACGTAATAATGCTTCTTTCTAATCTTTTATCATACGTAATATTTACCAAGACAATGTCGTAATAAATTCATTCTGCGCTACTTTGGTTGCATATCATTAAGGAATCCGTTTGAATCCGTTCTTCAAAGAAAGTTTTGTTCAAAGATGAAGTAACGCTGATGCATATCATTGTTGGGTAATATATTTCGGTACCTACCCCTACCACATTATTACTCCAAAAGACTCGTCAATAATTTGGCTAAAACGAGGTAGACGATTGGGACCATGTGCCGCAAGACTCTCGCACTTACCTATCCGTTCCCAAAAATTTCAGCAACAGAAGATGTACTTCCACTGCTCAGCTAACACCTTATATTACAGGGTCACTTGTATTGTAGTTTTTGGTCATTAACTTTAATTTCTATTTTTAAGACATAGAACAATGGGAAAAGTTTAAATAAGTAACAGACGAAATGACAGCGTCACCTGCAAATTAAGGAAAATGAACGTTTAGATTATAAAAAGATTGCGTTTAAACGTTTTCGTTTGTTTCTTTGTCTGTATTGTATTGTATTGTCTTACCTTTATCTTTTCTCAGATACATTGTGTAAAAATATTTGGTAAAGGTAAAATTATTATAATAAGTTAAAGAAATATCAAAACTGCTAAAATTTTTGGCAAACCCCTGCCGCCCAGTTTAAGAAACCCTGCTTTAAACAAGTGAAAGTTTTGAGGAAAAACAAGTATTAACCAGCCTAGGGCTTTGGTGCGCAAACGCTGTGACATGAATTCTCTTAAACAGCTGTGTGACGCAATGTATGCTATTAAAACCGTATCTGTTATAAATTAATGGCATATGCAAGTATGAGTCACCAATGAAGCTTTCCAAACAGCTTCATTCGAAGTTAATATGGGCTTTGGAATTTTCTGTTGGTTTGAAAAGAAAGACGTCATAACTTTCATTTAATTTCATTCACAAAATTAAATTTTTCTATCATTCACCATGTAGTTACTTATCAATCGCCGAGGCAACATTTCAGCAATTATCAGTGAAATAACTTCCTCCGCACAAAAATTAGGAAATATAATAACGGAAAAATTTATGTATTAATTTATTATGATTTTTCCTGACATAAATATCAGTATAAACGTATTCGGGAGATGAAAATTAGGAAACCGTTCTAAACTCTCATAAATTGCGTCTGACTGGAAGGAAAAGTATACAAAAATAATTTTATCTTTGCTTAGTTAGCTGTAAAGATTTTCAGTATAAATTTGTAAACTAAAATTAATCTCTTCCTTACTAACATATATACTATCAGCAAGCTTGATTTACGTCAACAAGTATCAGACAGTTTCCATATTAACGAAAATAGTACGCACTTTCTTTTCTTTCTATGCTATCCTTAAATAATTACCTCACCTGAATACTGCTATCCATTCGGCTTAGTTGCAATTGCTAGCTTGCTGCGTCGTAGAGATAGCGTTCGGAACTGTCTTGATGAACTACCGATGTCCATTATTCGCTATCTTCATATCGAAGAGGAGGCTGTAAATCACGTTTACTGTCATAATTTCCGCCTTAATTCCAGAGAATTTTGATTCATTGATGAAAGAAATGCAGTATCTTTCCCATCTCTCTGCTGTTATTAAATCATAATTGCAATTGAAGCGATGATTACCAAGTCGATGAGAAGTGATAATCTTTACTAATTATTAAATGATATGGAATGATATTTTAGATGCTAATTATTAAATGCTACATTATTAGATTGAGATGCTAATTATTAGATGCTATGTATTTATTGTAAGAATTAGGACTAGTTTACTTAAATAATAAAACATCTATTATTTTATTATGCTCCTTCTTATAGTAAATGTATTACAATGTTATATTTGTAGAACGCATATTAAAACTAAACAAAGTATTGGTATTTTCGCCGACAAATAAGTTTTTTCAGTTATCTTGTATTTTCATAAATCTTGGTATATCCTGGAAATTTCTAAAATTTAATTTTAAAGACTTATCTACACTTTCTGAGCATTTTTAAGTAGGCGAATAAATACTTCGTTTTGTTGATAATGTAATTATTTATTTATTAATAATGTGTTTATTAATTGACAATGTATTTTTAAATAAATACGTCGCTTTATTGATAAATACTTCGTTTAATGAAGATGAATTCTATGAATACATCGTTTCATAGATAATGTATTTATTTAGAAACATAACAAATGCGATAAAAACACTTACTTATCTTGTGTACTACCGTTTGGGAATCTTAATTGACTGGTAACTACTCTAAGATCAAGATCTTGACGTGATCAACGTTGGGCCGCAGAATGACTGACCAAATAAACGAGATTTCATTTTTTTTTCGTTGCTAAGCAACAAACGAGGTAAGGTATGAGATTTCGGCGAGTGTTAGACATACATATACAGTAAAAATAGTTTTCGAATGTACACGTAAGACAGCAGTTAAACAGCTCAGCCTTCGGCAAGAGCGTTACTTGCGTCCATAGTCTACACATATACACATATGGCTTGCGTTGGACGCACATATACGCACATAGGCCGCACAGTTTTTGTTGGACGCATATTTGCACCCATAGTATTCAAAGGGTTAAAATAGATCTTTGTTATGTTTGTATCCATAAAAACAACTTATAGGCTTGATCATCTGTGGTATGTTTATAAAGCAGTTTGTATGATATGGATGTTTGGAGAATTTAGATAATATGTTGGTTGCTTATATGATTTGTATGTTGGTAGCGTGTAAGTAAAGACGTAGTTGCAGTAAAATAAATAGTTGCCGTCGAATTTAATAGACTTTTTTGTTCTCGCCGAAAAAGATGTTTTCTAGCTATCGCTGATAAAGTGGAGCAATAAGCGCCCATTCTAAAACTTTCATATTTTTGAAGACGAAGAAAGCAGCTATTAGCTAACAAACCAGAACCAATAACACGTAATCTGAAGTCTTTTTTCAGAATGTGTTCTTTTCGGTTTATGTGCATTTTGATTTGTTATTTTAAGTGTTTAAAATTATTTTTGGCTAATATCTGCACCATTTGCACTATGTAAGAATCGCAAGATTAATCTTGGAATGATGTAATTTAGAGTAATTCATTTTAAGCAGTTATTATTTTTAGGATAGAAAAAAGAAATACCCAAATTAAAATGAAGAATTAAAAGGTTATTGCAAATTAAAGTTAGAATTTTGATTTACGTATTTTTGCAGGAGAGAAAATGAAGAACAGTTTAAAATTATAACCATTTGCTATTTAAAAAGGTACCAAGTCTGTGTTATCAATCTCTTGATTACATACATGTATGTCATACACATCTTGTGATATATAAATGCATGTAATTATAGTACATATTACACCTGAGTAGCGTATAATTTAAATTTGCATTCACTGAAAATTCAAGAAATAACGTTCCTTAGCAAAAACAAACTACAGAAATATTAGCATCATAATTTATAAAGCTTCAGAATGAATCTTCGTGTAAAACAATTTCCTTCTAGAACATGTAGTCATATGTAAACTTCCCCCTTCTGCCTCGGAGAGAATAGAATATCCCAACAATGCAATTCCCCTCTTTTCATCTGGGTTCTCTCAGAGTACCATACATTTTGAGAGACGCTTTAAAGCACGCTTGAATGTCCAAATTACAGGCGAAATCTTCAGCATGTCTCCCTGTCTCCCGTATTGCTTTTGGGAGGTTGCATCAGAATTCAAAGAGAAGATAGAGATTCTCTCGTCTGCTTGATGAAGATGAATTGGAGTCAAGACGTCATTTGGTCCTCATATAACTAATGAGATACTGCGGTATGGCTGTTTCGCCGCTTTCGGAAATGAAAGCCTGTTTGCTTGCCGAGATCATTAGATACAAGCAAGATGATGAACGACAGACAGAAAGATCATCTTGCGGTGCTTTCCAGTTCTTGCTAATGTTATCTGTTCTAGCATAGCTAATAGAAGAATTTCGTCTGGTTAACTGTCACGGAAATATTTTTGGCATACTTAAATAGCAGTATATTATAATTTTTATCTAAATATATAGTCTAGATTAATTCAAA